CAGTTTTATATAAATCACAATTGGAGATTACTTTTTTTTAGAAAAAGTTATACTTAAGCCAGTGTTGTGGCAGATTAAGCTACCACCTGCAGTGCTGGCATCTTATGTTGGTTTGCTGGTTGGAGAAATGGCTGCTGCACTTCTAATCCAGCTCTCGGCTAATGTGACCGTGAAAGCAGCAGAAAATGGCTAAGTTCTTGGACCTCTGACACCCATAGGGAGACCACAGTGGAGTCCGTGGCTTCCGCCTTCAGCCTGGACTCCAGGTGGCTGTTCCGTGTCTTCTTCAAGCAGGATCTGCAAGCAATGTGGATCCTAGACAGAACACCCTCAGCCTGAAAGTTGGACAGTACTGAGAATTCTTACCTAGCCACGCCGGTGGCCTCTGTTGTTTTTCTGTGCTGCCACGTTATTTGTTTAGTGTGATTTGTGCGTTCTGTGTGTCATCCATCTTGCTAAGGCAACATAAGCATATCCCATCCAGGATTAGAGCAAAATGATTTTGTGCTTAGGAAATAATCAAATGAAGATTTACTTTGTAACTTTCAGCTGCAGGGTAGCTTCCTATTTTAAAACCTCTCATTTGGTTATACAAGCAGAGGTGGCCCCAACTTTGAAAACAGAACTCCCTCTGAGACTTGCAGGACAGCCTGTGCTTGCTTAAGCACCCTCGTGTTGGAGGCAGCCGTCCTGACAGGTGTCTGCACTGCCCTCAGGCCTGTCTTTAAGTGGCTGCTGTCTTTCAGTTGCTTCCTGCTCACCAGCATTAGGCAGATATTTGTTAATGATGTTCTATACAACAGGTGCCACTTTGTTCCACCCTCTCCTCAACTCCTCTCGCTCGATGTAACGTAAGATGAATTCTAAATAAAAAGGTAAAAACAGCAACTCCTGATTTTTTAGCCATGGGAGAGCCTGCACTGTCCTTATCTAGGGAAACCCAGTGCCTTTTCCTGTTTTATCAAGCCAATCTTCTTTCTTTAAATACGTTTAAAGATTTATTTAGTTAGTTGAAAAGCAAAACAACAGGAAGAGAGAGGAAGGGAGGGAAAGAGGGAGGCAGGGAAGGAGGGAGGAAGGGAAAGAGGGAAGAAGGCAAGAAAGGAGGGAGAGAAAGAGGAAGGAGAGAGGGAGGAAGGGGGCAGGGAGAGATCCTCTGTCTACTGGCTTACTTTCCAAATTGCTGCCATAGCCAGGTCTCAGCCAGCCCAAAGCCAAAACTCAATTCTGTCCTGATCTCCCAGACAGGTGCACCATCTTCCACTGTCTTTCTGGGTAGGTTAGCAGAAAGTTGAATTTGAAGTGGAGCAGCCAGGATTGGAACCAGCACTGACATATGGGACACTGGAGTCTCAAGTGAGAGCTTAACCTTGTTATGCCAAGATGCTGAGCCACAATCTCTTCTTCAGCTAACAGGCAACACTTCTCAGATGTTTTCATTATATTATCTCATGAAATATGCATTGCTTGATCTCGTTTGCAACTGGAAACCTAAGGTCAAAGCCAACTGTCAGTGGTTTTGGGATCTCTGGCTCTCAATGCGTTTTCTGAGGTTGTCTTTCCCAATCAAACCAGAGTCAGCCAGCCTTGGAGTTCTTTCCTGTTTCCTGGGGGTGACAGAGGAGACAGCCAAGGTTTCTCTCCTTAGTCACTCAGGCCTGGGCATCTGCTGTTATTTCTTCTTTCTGTAGGGATCCTGTTTTGAATCTTGCATCTTTGAACAGGTTTGTGGGATCTCTGTCCTCACATGAAGAGTGGCTGTCTAGAAAAGCTTGGGCTCCTTTCTCTCCTGATGGGCAGATCCACTCGTTGGAGATGGGAGGGGCTCAAATGCAGGCACTGACCAGGCAGGTTAGGAGGAAATTATTTGAGGCTGAAGTGGAGCTTTTGTGGTTTGTTTGTTTTTTTAATCTCCATCCCTGTGAATTATCCTGGGCAGCAAAGGCCTGGTTCTTTTTAGGATGAGATTTGATGAAAGGGTCTTTTTGGAGGTGCAAAATAGCAGTACTTCCAGCTGGAGGTGTATGATTGCATTGATGTGCAAATGCAGATAGAAAGGACAGATACAGAAAACAGACTGTCCTTCCAAAGGGATTTGATTAAGTGTGGTTTTTGTTAGAATATGGAGATGAAAGACCCAAATGTGTGAGCTAGATTAATAAGGAAACCAGAATGTTTATTTCCCCTCAAAATACCACATCTCTAACAAGCTGTGACTATGAGACAATGCTCCTGCACTTCTTTTCCTGTGGCAGTCTGGGTCTTTCCAGTCTCTGTGCATGGAAGAAAACCTTGTGCTTGTGGGCAGTGAGCACGTCTCATTAATTTGTGCCATCGTGGTGCTGCTGTATCTGTCATTGGATGTTTTGAGCAAAACACAATGGAAAGGACACTTCTGGGAAGGCTCACAGGGGCTAAGCTTTGTCCTCCTAATGTCTCTGCACTGTCTTGACAGTCCTGCTTTCTTTACTTGCCCTGCTTCACATTCACTCCTCCTGACTTTGACTCTTCATGGCAGACAGGCGCAGTGGGGCGTGGCAGGCAGGTGCAATGGTGATCGTAGCCAACAGCAGTTCAGACCTCCTTGCTTGGTACAGCTCCACATTGTCTACGGCCATACCACCCTGAATGCACCTGATCTCATCTGATACAGCTCCACTGGCCATTAAGAGATATTCATTTATCACCTTTTGGTTCCAGATTCACATTGATGTGTCCAGTTCATTGACTACTAAATGTCAAGCATTCATTTTCTTGTTTTTTTTTTTAAGTGTATTGTTGTAACTCAATGGTAGTATCACTACTTTAAAAAAAGACTACTTCAGAAAACAGTTAACTGATTCTCCTTCCCTGACATGGCATTCCCAGATCTTCCTCTTCTTGCCTTATATATAATGTATGTGTGTTATAAATGTGTTTATTTGTATATAAGTGTGTGCATACTTTTGGTCGTGTACCAATTTTCCTGTCACCCATATGGAAAATCTTGGCATCAGCTCTAATACCCTTTCAGCTCCAGATATATTGTCAGTGGTTATGACAGGTGGAAAGAAAGTAAGCTGTGGAGCCAAGCACACTTTGGCATGTATCCTTGCTCTGTCACAAAGTAAATGGCTACCTTCAGCCAGACCTTCATGGCTCTGTTGATACATGCATTCATCTAGTGATTGACCTTCTTTTTTCTCTGCCATCCACAATACTCATTGTTTGCTTACAACATGCAAGATCCTGGAGATATATGTAATGTTTTCTTTTCCATAAAAGGGGGTACATTGGAACATATTAAAGTATGATGGTGATGATTCAATTTGACACCTGTGAAAGGACCCAAGGAGTACTTGGCCCACAGTGGATGTCCAGTGAGGGGTGCTCTGTAGTCAGTTGCAAGTCTCTTCAATTCAGCAAGTTCTCTGTCATTCGTTACTGTCATTTCCTAGAGTTTTGAGTGATGAGAAGCAATTACTTTCATACCTAAAAAATTTAAGAGGTTTCTAATTGGCCTTGGGACTGCTACTCTTTTCTGTTAAGCTCTTCCTTCTACCACCCTTTGCACTTGTAAAAGATTACTTTAGCCTGTGTTAACTTTTGTTGTTAAAAAAAAAATCTGTAAGTGGCTTCCAAGGCTTATCAGTAATACTATGAATTTCTTACTCCATGCCCAGGGCCCTCCAAATGTGTTCTCTCCCTTAACTTGTACCTTGTCCTCCTTCGGGCATTTCAGCTCAGCATACCTGCCGTCCTTTCCCACCCTGAGATGACTTACCTTCTTTGTTCTTCATTTACTGGCACACGTGCAGGGAGTGGCATTAATGTAACTATGAGCCAAGACTGGAGGCAATGCTGGCCTTCCTTGTGCAGTACTTTTATCCATTTGAAACACTGTAGACTTGGGTAATCTGTGCAGCATACAAATTTATTTACTCACAGTTCTGGAGGCTGGGTAATCCAAGGACCTTCTTGTTACATCCTGCAGAGATGAAAGCTATCCCTTTGCAGGAACAATGAAGGGTAAAGAGACAAGAGAGGGCCCAAGTTGCCCATTTATAATGGCATCATTTGGATTAAAATTTGGCAAGCCCCTGATGACCCAGTCACTTTCCAGAAGACCTAACACCACTACCATGGCCGTCAAGTTTATCAGGATGTTTGGGAGAGCATACATTCAAACTCTGGTGTGTAGTAGACTTTCCCAGTGGTTCTGAGGGCCTGGTGCTTTTTGGCAGATTGTTACTATTCACCGAAGAACAACAGAGTAGTAGAGGCACTTTGGTCATTATATATTGTCTATGCGTCTGAGTTTTCCTCATTATATCATCCACAGTAACCTCTTGGGGAATTACTTACTAATTTTCATAAATTTTTTCATTGGATTCATCTTTAGGATTAGTTATCAAAGCCATGGTGAGCTTAAATATTACCTGTGGAAACAATTTTGGTAGATATGTGGGGACTCCCTAGCTGGTGAGCAACATCTGTAGCAGCGAAATGGAAGAAAGTTTAAGTTGTTTCCCAACATATTTTTTCCTGCTGTAGATTAGGTTTGTGCCATAATGAATTTCTTAGGTTCAGAATTCTAAGGAGATGTCAATGGGCTCATTAATAGGCAATAATTCTCTTTATGTTAGCTCCGTGAAGTATAAGGTTTATATACATCTGTTTGCAAGTTCATGTGTGTGGTTCTATTGATACTGGATGGTGCAGTGTACTTTAACTGTTGGCTGCTGGTCTACGCGCTGGCAAACGGACTTCCCAACTCCTGATTTCCTCCTCAGGCTCTGCCATTTAGGTCTGCTTGGAGCCTGTCAGTGCTGTGATTTCATGGCTCCATTAGCCATGAGTCCAATCCATACCAAATGTTGCTGATTTACGAATGAAATTCTGAGAATCTCTCTGCAGTGAAATTAGATTGATTCCTAACAGTGCTGGATTCTGTTACGAAAATAAACCTTGTATATTCAGTCTAGATTGTTCTAATTTTAAATTTCTTTTCTTTCCACCAGTTTGCTGTTTTGTGGTTCACAAGAGGTGCCATGAATTTGTTACTTTTTCTTGTCCGGGTGCGGATAAGGGACCTGACACTGATGTAAGTATGTGCGGAATTCATTAAATGAAGTTAATGTGAATTTCTACATGATTTTCTGAGCTTCAGTACAACTGTTGTTTTGGCGCACACTATTAATGGAAGACTTCTCAATTAGGCTCGTGTAACTTGGCTGGTAGTAGTGAACAGATTTATAATCCCTTTGAGCCCAGATTATTTCTTGGGCAGTTCTTGGAGAACTGCTAGTTTGTACTTTTCCATTCAGAGCAGCCACAGTGACTGGATACACTGTATTTATTGTAACAGCTATGCTGACTAATTTTACAGTGAACATAAAATCCTAAGGGGCCTATCACTTGCTTTGGGCCAACATACCAAGGCGTGGAATTCTTACAGCCTTATCGTTATATTTTAGAGATGCCATTGTTGATTGAAATAACTTGGCATCTGTTTCACTGAACAAGGGTCTCGGGGGCCGCCCACCTCACGTATTTGTACCCTGATTCCACCTGTCTCTTTTGCACATCTTTATATTATTATATCTCTTGCTGACTGGGAAACTGGGATCAGCAATGGAGAGCAAGCGTTGGGAATCATGGGACTCATCAGTGACTAAAATCTCCTGAGTGGAAACAAACATGGGTTGTTATGGGAAAAAGTTGTATTTTATCATCAACAAACATTTGTGCTGTGGGCCTGTAAGACTAAACATTCCTATTCTGAATGGTTTTTAGCAGATCTATGTAGTCACTGCTTCTTCAATTACATACTTAAGCAATTCCTACTTCTCACCCTTGTTCCCATCAGAAAACTTTGATGTAGAAGTGGCTTTCTCAGTACAGGTCATGGATAGTCTCACTTTCTCAGATGGCTTCACTGTGGACATTGATAGATTCAGGTTTGTCTTTTTACACCTATTATGAAGGAACTTATTTCTTCTCAGTACGTTGAGATGTGCTGTGTCTTTGTTAAGAAGCTAAAAGTAGTGTGGGGTGGGTCCCCTGAGCTGTGGACCACCAAGGCTCCACCAAAGCTGCAGAGGACACCTCTGATCTCATCTTGTGTTACATTTTCATGGAACAGGAAGTCTATGTCCATGAATATTGATTGACTTGTCTCCTGCCAACACAACCAGTGTCACTATCTTCACCCCTCCAATTTCTATACTTTCCTTCTTTCTCGAGTACTGTCTGCACTTGGAACATTTTAGAGATTAAAAAAAAAAAAGATGAGTGGTAGAATGTAGGCTTACCTGAAAAGCTGTGCTGACATTGTCATAAAGCATCAATTGGTGGTCCTCTTCTTCCTGTTTCTGTCTCCATCCTCCTACCTTATCCTTCCTCATTTCTTTCCCTGTTTTCTGCCATTTTGCTCAAACAAGAAAGTGAGGAGTAGTGGGGGATGGACTAGAGGAGCATGGTTAGTTTGTCTGACCTCTTTCACATCTTCCTTCCTCTTTTCACTTGTTCATTCTTTCAGTTGCGTACTTGTCATTGAGAATCTTGAATGTGCCACACTCTCCCAGGCAGTGGGGCAAAAATCAACACAGAGATCTGCTCCTTGTTCTCAAGGGAAGAAAGCAGGCATTATGAAGTCACTCATTGAAACACGATACAAGTGCACTGCAGGTTTACCTAAGAGCCCATCATAGGTGATCAGGGAAGGGTTCCCTGAGGAAGTTGTGTTTAAACTGAGTTTCAAGGATATGTAGCACATAAGCAGGGAAAAGGGGTGTGTGTGTGTGTGTGTGTGTGTGTTTTGTATAGATGTTAGATCATTAGGTCATAAGGGGCCCTGAAAAAGGCTATTTTAGACAAAGGAAAGGCAAATGAGACAAAGACAAATGAGAAAGCCAAGATGTGGAAAGGTCAGTCTGTGACAGAAACTGAGGCAAGTGGGCTTTGGATATTTGACTTAAGATTTTGAACATAAGTGTAGAAGCAGTGCGTTCTCAGGGAGAGATTTGAAAGCAGATATGGTATGATCCCATTTTCATCTTATTAAAGTTGCTCAGGTTTCCTTTTAGGGAGTATGTTGGGTTTGTAACGGGCATGGTGTACTGATGAAGATGGAGAAGTACCCAAGGTTACAGGACCTGCACACAACAGGATGACAGAAGCTTGGGAAAAGATGAGGCAAAGCAAATGGACAAAGTGAACTCAATCAAGATGTATCTGAGAGCCATCTGTGCAGTTCTTGGTCCTTGTGGGCTCAGAGACATGGAAATGTTAAGAATGTTTCCTAGGTTTCTGGCCCAAATGCATAAACAGTTGGAGGCCCTTAAAGGCTTTGTAGATTTTGGAGGGACAGTGTATATCTAGGAGAGTGGGTTGGGGGCAGATGTGGAGTTTTGCTTTAGATATGTTCAGTTGGAGAAATTTGATGCTCTGAAGGCATTTGTTGGTAAACCCAGTTATGGAGGTCAAATGTGGAATACATCCTGGAGATTTTAAGATTCCTATTTGTTTTCAAGCATTGCAGATGAATGATCTTTACATGGGTGAAGGAATAGAACAAAGAGAAAGAGACAAGTCCCAAGACAGGGCTCTCAGGATAGAAGAAGGCCAAGGAAGAAAACAAGGTGGAGACCATTCTGATTTGACAGTTTCCAAAGGGGGCTGAAGGCCAACTCTCTGATCAGATCTGCGCATTTGTAATGGGCTCTCTGCAGATTTTTGCTGCTCATGAATAAGTAACGTGCAGTCTGTGCAGTACAGGCATGTTTCCATGGGGAAGTCTTGGGTCTGCCATAGATCAGTTAATATCTATTCATTTTCTTCGATCCCTTTCATGTTCAAGACTTTTTTTTTTCTTTTGGGTGATCATAACATAGAACACTACTCCTAGAGCCTGGGGCCTGGCAGAAGAGTTTTGGCGAAGATCTGTTAGGCATGGAATGCAATGGGAGGTGCACCTGTGACCTGATGTTCAGCAGCCTTGCTTATTTTCTATTGTATTACCTGGCTCTGGATGCTGAACCATGCATATCTAATATCTTTGAAAGTGAAACTGAGAAGGGATTTTCCCCCCCAAAATGAGATAGAAAGAACAACATGAGAGTGAAAAGGTAACAGATACTTTGAGCCCCGCTCATCTGATTCATAAAGCCTTGGATGTTCTCAGGAGGAATTTTGCCCTTTGCCCTTTGGAGCAGAGCAATTTATGCTTCAGACTTCCTGTAATCAGGAGATGGGGTGTGTCTTGTCCCTGGGTGCCGGAGCTTCGCTCACTGTGTGCATCTGAAGATGAATCCCAGGTCGTCATGTAGATCTGCACAGGGGAGTCAGCTGCAGAGTGCAAAGGCATCTGGAGATGAAGCAGAGCTGAGATGGGAGGACTGTCTTGTTCTAGCATTTTATGAGTAAGTTAAAGATTTATCCAGATTCACCTTTCTTATGTAGAAGAGAAGAGTAAATACCGAGGCACCATCCCGTGCTGTATTCTGAGTATCTAAGTGAGTTTGTGGTTGACTTTTTCAAGAGAAATTTCTCATCAAGGGAAAAAAAGTGAGGGCTCAGTGACAGGTTGGGTCTTGCTGCCAGAAGAATATGTAAATATCTTGTATTGGATATTGTTATCCAGGAGGGGTGGAGGACGTGAGAAAGACCAGTTAAGAAAAGGGGAAGAATCAGGAAAATTCAATAAAATTCAAGAGAAAAAAAAAAAACTTGCCCCAAGCATTTTTTTGCTCCTGAAAAATTTGGACTTTTGGATTAGAGAAAAATCTATACCTGCGTGGCTTAATAGCTACCTCATTTAGCTTGGCAGACTCCATAACACTCACGGATTGGGAGTGGAGTGAGGGAATTGAAGTTATAAACCTTGTGAAACCCACAAATATTGTGGCCACTCTACCATCTAAAAGATGAAAGGAGAGTGAAAGTACTGAAAAAGCAAATTGCAGGGCCCCGATGATTGCGGCCATATAGAAGAGTGACAAGAGTTCTTTTGAACTGAGACATCCTTCAACACTGCAGGAGTAGGCTCAGTTGCAAGTGAGCATGAATTCAGGAGAGCTGTGGAGGAGGAGGAGGAAGGGCATTTGTGATCAGTGGAAGGTTCCTGTGAAGTTGCTCACACGTGTGTCCCATCTCATAGCCTCAGGCATTCCCTGCCGGTGCATGAAGAGACAAAAGCCTGGCATTTCCTCAACTTGCAGGGCAGCTCCATACACTCTGAGGGCAAAGAGAGAAGATTGAGAGGGTTTGAAAGAACTTGACATGAGGGGTGAGCTCAGCCATGGAGGCTGCATGCCTCTGGAGCTGGGAAGCTCAGACCCTGTACTGTGTGCCTCACACGACAGGCAGGGTACTCTTCCCACTCAGGAGCTGGAAAGGCCCTGTCAGTGTAGAATTTGTTCCCAAGTGTACAACCAGAGTACCCAGGGCTCTCCGCAAGACTCCTCCCCTGCAATCATGATCTGATAAGACAATGTCATGACAAGACTATCTATGACAGAAGTGGTCTTTGTTTAGAAATAGCTTTCTTCTCTCCAATACTAAATTGCTATCAGACTGAGACATGAGGGGGTAGAAGAAGGACTAAGACCTTGTCTGACTTTTGGCATGCGAGATACTGCATGTGACTACTCTGCAGATGGAGCTGCACCTGCTGTTACTTTTTCACCACAGATCGCTTGCCTTAATAGATTCATTTTCCCTATCCTGGGAATGATGTCGGTGCAGGGTGACCAGGGGAGGCTCTGGGTGACTCTGTGGGACTGGCTCAGCTCCAGATGGCTTCCTCTCAGTTCTTAAAATTCCAGATCAATCACTTTATTGTTCATTAGCCTGGAACTCCTCACCCTTGGGGGAACCATCTCCCCTCCAGTTCTGCCTGTCCTCAGGCCTTCCACTGCACATGCACGTTTGTAACAACTTTCACGCATGTGTATGTGTGAGCATGTGTGTGTAGAGTACACACAGCCCTCTTCTTTTACTCTTTCTGTTTTCTCTGTGTGCCCGATGTAAGAAAAGGCTACCTAGTGGCACTTCCAGAAAATCACACAAATTTTGATCCTGATGTTCATGCCTACCATTGAC